TGCGATGACAAAAGTGAAAACCAGCGAAGAAATGGCTAGAGTTGCCAAGTTCCCCTTTAAAGTGTTTGTTAGCCACGGTTAGCAACCAACCAGTCTAGCGTGTAGTTGTTGTTGTTGTTGTTATAAAAACCCGATACCGATAATTCCCGATATTACATATTTTAGTGAATAAACCCTAATAGATATATTACTAAAGTACATAAATAGATCTACATAAAACAGTCTATATTACTGCGTTGGTTTAACCAGAAACCACAAAAGTAAAGCTTTAATAGACAATGTAGTATTTTACTAGTTTCATGTTTTCTTCCAGAAATAAAATGCTAAGCCCCAAGATTCACCTTTACGTCTCTGTCAGCTCATCGTTTGTGGAGACACTTCATATTTACGTCTTGCTGATAAGTTCAAATGTCTGACATTCGTGTGTTACAAATGACTATTTCAGCTCACTGGAGAATTGTTCTTTAGTTTTTCTTTACTTCTTTCTGTAGTGTTGTTTCTTTGCAGAACTGTATTTATTTTTTGGGGGTGTTTTTATTGGATAGGACAGATGAAGATAGACAGGAAAGGGAGAGAGAGAGGGGACGACACGCAGCAATGCAAGGACTCTTGGACTATCAGGGCCCCCCCATTTGTAAAACTGTTACCAAATATCACGTCAGGGAATTGAAACCCTTGAAAGCAAGACATTGTGAAATGTAACATTTAATTTCTCACTTACACTACATTTTTAGCTGAACTTAGCTGGAAGTACAATCTAGCCCATAACCCAGTTAACAAATAAAGCAGCGTGGCTCTTTTGTAACAACAGCAACTCCAGACATCAGCCCAGACTCACGTAAAAACAAAGACTCCCAGTAGGAAAGTGAGTGGTGTGGATGGGTGGCACAGTCAGCAGTGGCTAACATTCCTCAGGGAAAGCCCTGCGGAGAGAAGCTACCGTTCTCGCTGCTGCCTGTGGCTGCGCTGACAGCATCGCTGGTGGAAGACCTCAGCATGTAGGTCAAAGGATGAGCCACGAGAAAAATGAACAAGTCGAGCGAGTGGCCATTATAGTGCAACACAGGACTTCTTCAGCTCTAAGTCTGCAGACGCAGAGTCTTATTTCTATGTCATTCTTTACTAATGTCCGTCAGAGGTTTAGTTTTAAAGAGCAGCAGCAATGTGCAGCTCATACATTATATATTCTCCACATGCAGGGATTACTGAAGCACTGCCTGTGAGCGGCTACACTTCTGCTCTTCCTGAACTGGTTGTAAATGGTGTCAGAGGCTGTGATGATACTTCAGTCCGCTGACCTGCGTCTCAGCACGGTCTGCTCTGTGAGCTTACAGGCAGCGTTTACAGTTTAAAGTAGTCAATCAATACTTGTAACACTGCCAGCAGGTTTCTCAGGACAGACAGCGTGGAGTAAAAGAAAATAGCTTTGCCTCTTAAGAACTGAAAGAATCCGTAAATGCCAAACATCATGAATAATTTGGACCGGCGTCTACAGCAGGGTGTGGAAATGGTACTTTTCCAAATATATCACCCAGTAATAATTAAGGTCCTGTTGCAATCCATTCTCCTTGTTTTCAGTCAAACCAAATTCCTGGAGAAGTGACTGATGCTGTGATCGCCCGCTGTAAATCTAAAACCTACCAGAAACCACTGCACCAATTTATTAGGGGAGCACAAGCACGCCCTTCGTCTGAAGACTACGCTCAACGCTCTCTTTGGAGCATGCAAAGTTGGATACTTTTGCAGCACCGTCACTCAAGCTTCATCACAGACACGTGCGCACACTGCCAGCGCTGTCGTTGCACAGTAGACACTTTCTATTCAAAAACAATCAGCTCCTCAAATGAGTGTGAATAATAATTTACACGTTTAGTTGAAACTTCTTTGTGTGGACAGTTTTGCAAAAATGACATCAGTAATTTAAAGAAAGAGTCTCCAGGAGGTTTTCTGACTAGTCGACAACTTTAAATACGTCTGCACCACCGGTTAGTTGTCAGCATCAAGCAGTTTCCAGCGTTTTGTTCACACGATATCTTGTTTTGGTTTTCTGTTGTTCTTTCTTGATGTTGACAATAATGTGTTTCTATTCCTCTGCTATGTGTCTGACCTCCGTTGGATGTGGATTTTGAAATGATTCCTCCTGCCGATCAACCATCCTCCTCTGACCAGACGATGAGGTAAGAAACCAGAGTTTTCCCTCCATCCTGCTGCTGAAGATGAATTAGGTCATCGGTTAAGAGATTTGGCCTCAATTATCTGACTAAAAGGACGCTCTGGTTGGTTGATGTCAGCCCATTTTAGCCCGGCTGGCCACTGCTGTNNGTTCATGCATTAGATTTAAAGCACTGGACCTTGACTTTTTCACATTTTAAACTCTACTACTGAAGGAGAAATATTTAGATTTGGTGTTCAGACTGGGCACGTGGTTTTTGCACTGAATACTACTGGAGTGACTACTTGTGTAATTTATCTGTGCTTATTTGCTTCGGGGTTTTACCTGACACCAAAGAAGAGTAGCAGCGTGAGAATAGGTGTGTTCTCCAGGCCCAGATTTTCTTGTTCTTAATCTGTGACAACCGAGAATCTGCTGTGTGTGTCAGCTTTGTTTGTGTACCTGCTGCTTTTGTCTGAGGTTCACTTTACATTTTAGTGGTTTTAGCTCGGGTTCCTCTTAGCCGACAGCTCGATCATCCTTCAGCAGTCAGCAGCTCTCCTGAAGCGTATCATAGTTTCAGAGTGATGGCGCTCATCTGTTATCGCCTTTACAGTAGCACCTTGGTGTCAAAACTGCCCCCTCCCTCCTCTTTACTCCTCTTTACTCCTCTTTACTCCTCTTCTCCATGTCACTGTCCACAGCCCCACAGCTGTGTTTGGCCCGGCTGAGTGGGGATGAAAGGGGGGCGTGTTTGTTTTCAAGACCAAACTGTTCACAGACGGGTGGAGAGGAGTGGATCTATATGGGTGTGACAAACCCTGGTTCCTTCCTCAGCCACATTCCAAGCCTATGTGACAAAGCTGCAGTGTATGCGGACAGAGGGAACACCTTGTGAGGAAAACTGTCCACATCTGTCCAAGACCCAGAGGCCGCTGCCGCTGCTGCCGCTGCTGC